TACATGTACATCTAAGTATCATCCAGACAGTCGAGCTCCTTCTGCCATTATATTCCACGGATAATACTGTATTTATCCCAGGGGTATACTGACTGAAGTAATACTTATTTAAACTCATCACCAATAGATGAGCTTGGGCGTTGGTGCCTTCAAAGTTGGTGGAGCCGGGCAATGCTCTAGCATGAGGAGGAGGTATCCATGGCAACCCTGCGAGCGGCCCCCACCAGGCACCGTCACACTGAACAAACCAGTGGAATACTTACCGACCCAATACTTACCTAGCCCACACCAAGAGGGAGGGAGGGATGGGAAAAACCAAAGCACAAACTGGCACGCAAACAGCAAGCAATTGCAACAACACTTTGCGAAGAACTGCAAGCAAGCAACTGCGTATATAAGTCACGAGGTGCCCCTGCTAAAGACATTGGGCCGCCCCTAATATAGCTGGGGAAACAGCTGACCAGCATTGCTTCGAGGTTAACTTTGCCTAAATTACATTTAGCCACATGAAAAATAGCATTAATGCAAAAGACGTTAGCAAAGTATGGGTCCAGGGGCGCCTTTTTGTTCAACCCAAATTCCGGAAATTTTGGTTAGAAAGCAAACAGAACAGACCATCTTGGTTCGGTTTGGCCAGAATATTTGACAACACCTTTGAAGGTGGTACACTTTGGACTGTCCTACTGGTATGACCAAAATGACAGTTTCCATTTGACATAATTGTTGTCACCTCTACTGCACATCTGTACCCTGCTTACAAGTACCTACCCAAACACACAGTGGCTTGGGTCAGGTCTGTACAACTGGAATGTACTAGTGTACCATTGGGGTGTGTGGAATTTTTTCAAAATTTCAAACAAGAATTTTTGTTGAATGGAACACACCATAAAGCTAGATGTGGTTGGCATTCATCTGCTGTGCCTTGGGTTGACAAGAGGTTTTAACAAAAATAATTTGAAAAACATACTGTTAAAAGCATTATACTGTGTCTATGGAGTACAAGGTTACACCCAAAGTACAACGTATCCAGGGCTGTCATTAAGAGGCATGGGCCTGGGATTTCCCCTGGCTACCCTAAACATTGCGTCTGGCTACTTTCATAGGAAAATAGAAGAAAAATAGAAGCAAAAGAAATCCCCAGCTGTTTGATTCCCCGCCTACTTGTTGTTCATACCCAGCAACTTGAAATCTTAGTGACAGCCCTGCTTATCACTACATTTTTATCTTTATTATATAAACACCAATGAAATACCAGGTGAGCTTTTCAGGAGTAACTTGTTATTTTCACATACACATGAAAAGATCAGTATTGTTATCGTTACATAAGAAATCGCACCTTGTGCAGCGGTGCCTCTGACAGCAGTGCCTTTGTCAAAGTAATTTTGTTGCAACTTCAAAGTGGTGGACGATTTACCTAACTGGAATCTAAATATTATTGGATGCTGATCAAATGCTTACTGCTTAATCAGAAAAGAAAAATACAAAGAAAAAGGTGATGTTTGACCTGAACATTGTTCTGAAATTTCTTCGCGAGTTTCGGAAAGAAGAGAGAAAATTAAACAATTAATATTCCACCAGAGGAGGTGAATGTATACCTTAGTGAATTCATCATTGCCGCTAGCACAGGAAAAAATAACATACCATATTCCCATTTTTGGATATTTTAGGGTATTTAAAGAATACCCACAAAAATCCCAAATTTGGAAGAGTGAGACAAGTCCCAACCAGAGAACTTGGTTGGGAATTCCCTGGTTGGGACTTGTCTCACTTTACCAAATTTGGGATTTTTATGGCTATTCTTTAAATACCCTAAAATATCAAAAAATGGGAATTCGTTATTTTTTCCTGTGTAGAACAAAGAAAGGAGAACAATATGAGCCATCTTCTCTCATAGGAATCTTATCACGCTTTGACTGTTATCTTGCAAGGTGCAAATATGGGAAAAGGCTATTCATTGATCCTGAATTTATGAGATTGAGAGACACATCGAAAGCAAAGCAAAAAGAACTGAAAAAAAAAACAAGGCGCTCACTTCTGAAATATTAATTTTTTTAGCACTCAAAGAGAAATTTTGTATATGTAATATGCTCTATATACATGTATCTTATACCTCATGGTGTGTATTTGTGGGGTTTTAATTTTTGTAATTTCTTTCCACTGTACATAAACAGTTGCAACCTTAGAACACGTCCTGCAAAATGACTTCCACAACTTAGAAAGACAACTTACATGGAAATTTAATTTTGTAGTAGATAAAAATTCAGATAAATCCTGTATTCAACCTTCTTTGATATTGGATATTATCGCGATAATATCACGTTAGTATCTACTAGAGTCTATTTAGATTGTCCTGTCCTCTTTCCTGAATGCGATGATATTGGATTATCGCAATAAAACCTTCCAAATTGCATATTGACAAATCACCAACATTGATCAACATTAGCTGAACATTTAACGAGGCACATGTTTTCTACATATATCTGATAGTAGAATGATTAGAATGACTAAATCCAATTAGACATCTATGACAGTATAAGGGCAAAATATTAGATAATATAAATTATCATTGGATAGAGTTGTATCATTATAAACAAATAAGATAAAATCTGATAAAAAATTTGAAATTTTCAGTCTGACAAAAATTTTGATAATGTTTGATGTTAGACCTATTCTAAATCGATTATAAAAATCTGATAACTATCCAATAAATGATATCCTTTCAATATCACAGCTTTATGCATATGGAATTTCCCTTGTTTTTTAACCCTCATTTTTCGTAGGAGACAAGGAAAGTTTGGTTTAACCTGAGAACAGATTTTACCTACAATGCTTTCACATGTTGATTTGCCTATATTTGTGACTCAATTTATAAAGGAATGGTTGAATGCAGTTGTTAATAAATAAATTCCCACTTGGAGAAATCAGGTTGACCAATCCCAAGAAATAATTTGTGCCTGCAAAATACAAAAAATCACCTATCTGTAAAACTAAACTCTCACAAAAATAAAATGTGAAATGGTACTGACAACAACATTGCACCATTATTAAGTGTGCCTTCTTTCTCTGTTCCTATTGTAGTTTCCATGTCTGCAGTGTTAAAGAATTTTTAGGATTCCTGTGATGTCCAGGCTGATGGAGGTAAGAAAAATAATGGATCATCTGTTAGTTATAGTGTTGGTCTAGTGAAGGTTGATTGTTAATTCTTGGTATTTATATCTTAATTCTCTAGTTGTAAGGGTTTGAGGTATGAGAAGTTTGAGCTGTGGCTCTATAAATTTTGATGGAGGGATGTTAGTTATGTCAGACCCGAATGAGGGCCCTGTGTGTTGTCAATTGATGGATTTCCTTACACAGTAAACTATTTCTTATTTTCCTCTCCCCTCTCCCTGTTTAATTTTATATTTATAGGGAGCATACTGCTGGGAGCAATAATTATTTGGTGGTTGAGCATTTCATTGAGTAGGGGACCGGGTGGAGGCATGTTGGGGTAGTAATAGTTCTTGATGATGCTTTGTGCTGCTCAAACCAAGATACAGTTTAACTAAGTTTTTGTTATGTGGGCCTCATTGGCTTGTTTTGACCCTTCGAGCCCCAAGAGTGAACAATGTCAATTTTCTCCTAACTATATCTATTCAATGCATCAACAAGAGAGAAGGTTATGAGAATAAACAAAATGATCACTCAAAGGAAAAATGCTTAATTATATCTTTTGTAATCAAATTCTCTCTACTACTTCTTTAAGGAGGCGTGTGGAGGTCGGTCTGGATTTGCATTTTGTTGTTTAAGGGTTATTAAAATTATCTGCAATATTGAGTTGGTGCATTAAGCTTTGTGATCCCTCCCAATCTCAAACAAAAGAGAGTTTTAGCAACAATGGCAGCAAAAAATGTCACTACTAAAATAAATTTACCTTTTTAAACTTTGTTGAAAGTTTTCCAAGGCACTTACAATGTTAGAGGTGTATTAACTTCCTTGGAGTGAAATTATTCTTCAACTAAACTTCGCATTAGGAATTTTTCACGCCAAAGTTGTGCAGTAATAGCAAAGAATGTACCATAAAGTGTGCTGCATGTGCAGAGTTTGTTTTTTTATGGTCATTAAATCTATTACGTTGTGACAATCCTGTGGCTGTTGCTGTCATCGTTGCCAAAGGTAGTTACAGTGTGTCCCGAAGTATAAAGCCAATCAGGCGTGAGAAAACTAAACCACAAGCAAGATCGTAAATTAGTTTGTGGTTTTGTGGCCAGTTCACGTGTCTTTAGTCTACTTGATGTTTGCTGTGATTGCTCATAACACAATAATCATTCCTGAGATATTTCAAGTGTTCACGGTTTTCACGGTCGCATTGTAATATTGTCCTCACCTCTTAGTGTGGTACAGGTGTACCGTGTTGTTGAGACAGTCTGAGTAATGTGCATCATCTTTAACTTTTTACCCTGCAAGTTATTTCTGTCACACCTCCCTCCCTATTATAGTGATATTCCCATGATATTTTAAACATATTGTCCTCAAGTTTAAGTAGAAACTTAGAAAGTAAAGTTGATTTGTAACAGTTTTGAACTGTTTACGTTTTCAATAGGATGTTACTCTACATGCATAATTTTATGTAAACTGCTAATTTTTGCAAGAGTATGCTAACCACAGATACATCTTAAGTCATTTAGCCCTGGGATGATTCCTGGCCTAAGTAATTAAGTATAATTATAGTATGTACCCGAAGTTCAAACATGATATGTCTTGAGCCATTGCTACACAATGTGTTGGTTGTGTAGCAGTCAGAATGTAATGATTTCCATAACCAAAGCGCTTTGTTAGTATAAATAATCTATAGTTTTCTTGTCAGCCTTTTCAAATGGTATGGACTCTGAAAAGCAATGCAAGACATTGCCTGAGTTTAAGTTATTATGAGTCAGTTTAGGTTCGTATGAATTTACATTGCATTCAAAAGGCTTTTTATCAAATCCTTTGGATAATTTATGCTACTCTTTTTTTAGGATTTGTCATCCTTTCCCAGCACAGCCTCTACATCACAGGAAGACCATGAAAGCAATTCCGGATCCACTTCCTCCAGGAAATTGAGAGTTACCCTGTTAAGCAGTGAATGGAGATCAACAAAAGGAGGCTTGTCAACCATCAACCGAGAGCTCGCCATTCAGTTGGCAAAACACCCCAGCGTGGATGTCAGTGTTTATCTCCCTCAGTGCAGTGAAGAAGACAAACGAGTCGCTGCCAGACACAATGTTCATGTCATTGAAGCAGAAAAAATGCCAGGTTATGACCCGGTTGACTGGTTGTCCTTCCTACCAAAAGACCATGCTGTGGACTGTGTGATAGGACATGGAGCCATTCTTGGTCGGCAAGTGCAAGGTATAAAACGTGATCGTCCTCATTGTAAGTGGATTCAGGTCGTTCATACCTCTCCAGAAGAACTTGGAATGTACAAAGGATATGAAGAGCGCGTTTCCAGAGGTGAAGAGAAACACCAAGTGGAGGTTGAACTCTGTAAATTGGCTGATCAAGTTGTAGCAGTTGGACCCAAGCTGGCTGAAGCTTTTTCGGGTTATCTCCGTCCCTGTGGAAAGGATCAAGATGTTTTCAATCTTACCCCAGGCATTTTCTCTGAATTTGCTGATGTAAAGCAAGCCTCTCAGGAAAGAAGTTCATTTACTGTTTTAGTGTTTGGACGTGGCGACAATGAAGATTTTCAGCTAAAAGGATATGACATTACTGCCCAAGCCATTGCTGAGTTGAAAGACACGACGTACAAACTTGTGTTTGTTGGAGCAACACGGGGAGAAGAAGATAAAGTAGCAGACTTGCTACTTAAGCATGGCATTGATCGCAGTCAACTCAGGGTGCGTCGTTTTAATGAAAGCAGAGAGCAGTTAGCCCGTTTGTTTTGTGAAGTTGATCTTGCTATAATGCCATCACGAACTGAGGGATTTGGTCTAGCCGCCCTCGAGGCTTTATCTGCTGGTCTGCCTGTGCTGGTCAGTGGGAACTCTGGTCTTGGAGAAGCTTTGAAAAAAGTTCCTTTCGCTTCAACTTGTGTGGTACAATCAGAAGATCCTAAAGAGTGGGCCAATGCAATCAAAGCTGTAAGGAAGAAAACCCGAAATAGTAGACTTAAAGAGTCCAAGATTCTTCGAGGAGCGTATACAGAGGTGTACAGCTGGCAGGAAAATTGTTACAAACTTGTAGAAAGAATGCACAACATTTTTCACTGTAAGATGTTAGCATTAAACAATAACATTATTGAATGCGGCTTTTGTATCATCTGAAGAATTATGGAAGTAATTGTTCAGATGATACAAAAGCCGAATTCCATAATTGTTTTATTTTTTATTCAAAATTATTCCTAGTTTAATAACAAGCTAAAACATGCTTACCTCCATCGATGTTAAGTTCATCTTCAACAGTGCACGTTAATCGGCAAGTTTAGGCGCTAAAGGGTTGTTCAGCTCCGAAAATATTCTCCAAATAACAGATGTTGCCCTTGGTGTTATCTTCTTGCTGTTCTTGCTATTTTTTAGCCAATAGTTGGCCATTTTTGTTGTCACTATCAAAACAACTCAGTCTCGTCCCCACGTGTTCTCGGTTAATGGTTCAATAATCTGCAACTTTGCTGCACTTTTGATGTCATGGGTTCAATATGGCATACAGTAGCTGGTTGTGGTTAATTATGCGTGGGATTTTAGCCAGTCAGAAACAGAGAAATATTTTGAATTAATAATATTGTAATTTATATTCTGACATTACTTAAGGTGAGTCGACCCAGTTATTTTGTGAGGATACCATCCTACTTTGAAGCTCTCTGGTATCCCCACCTTTACTTTGATCGTAAGTCTAACATATAGCATGGATAACATATAGATCAAACTACAATATAGCTTAAAATTTTTGGCGATCGGAGTAAATGTCACGTGGTTATAGTGCCACGCCTCTTTGGGGTTTGAGTCGAAATTCTGCTGTTGCCGGCATTGTTTCGTGAAAATCTCTCGGCTACATATAGTGCGTATTAGTGCCTTGCGTTGAACAGACTTTCACCAAAATCGCAAAGACCCAATGCGAGAAATTCAGCAGTTTCCAAATTTAGCTCATAATTTATCCGAAAATGATAAGCAAACTTTACACGATTATATCTAATAAACTATGAGATTTATCCCTTTATTTTGGGGATCTTTATAACAGATGGGTCCTTGCAAGCATTTTCTTAAAAATTCCCAATGTTGTAGATTGATCTATATGTTATTCGTGCTATATGCATGTTAGACTTACGATCAAAGTAAAGGTGGGGATGCCAGAGAGCTTCAAAGTAGGATGGTATCCTCACAAAGTAACTGGATCGAGTCACCTTAATAATTAGTCATAGGCTTAAAGTACAAGTACATGTAACGCGGTTCAAACAGAAACGTCAAGGATTCACTTGAGCCAAAATGTTAAGATACTTTATTTTTACTCCCAAGTGCCATGTAACAATAACAGTTAATTTGCAATACTTTGTCTGAATTATAACATTTTCTGGGCATTTTTGTTGCTTGTTGCCTCCATTTCTTGAAGCTGGAATGCATTTAATTTTTTTTCGTAGGGAACGGTGCACATGGGCAGGACTTACGTGCTAAAGCCACTGTTGTCTGTCAAGTCAGTGAGAAACCGTGTCCTTTTGAAACTGGTCCTCATAAAGGTACGCTTAAACTCTTCAACATGAACAATAAATTATACTTACGAGAGCAAACTTTTGTAAATGTATCTATGTTGCAGTTAATTTTTATTTCAGTTAATTTTTATTTTTCCATTGCTTTTGGGAATGATAATGTATGCTAATGAATTTGAAACAAAGGGGAAGCAAAAATTAACTGGAACTGAGATAAACATGTAGCGTAGGTACATGTTTATGACGTATGAAACAGTCATTTAACTGTAAAAAAATAAATTAATGTTAAATAAATCATAAATTATAACATGAACGGCACATAAAACAAATCAAAATAGGTAATGACCTTCAATTCGCAGTTATAATATCAATATAACCGGTTATAAAAGAACCTGAAAATTGTCAGGTGTTACTTAGACTGTTTACAGTCCTCTATTTTTCCGTAAGATCGTCGAGATCGAGCGCTTTGCGTTACCGGCTGCCATCTTCCATTAGTGTCAAGAAAACTATTTAGGGGGCGGAGGGCCGCTTGGGAGGAAGCGACCTAGAGCTATAATCCCCGACGCCCGCCCCCTAAGTACATTAACGGTAAGACGCGCAACATCTAAACGATCTCACGAAAAATAGAAGACTGTGAACAGTGTAGGCTTCACTGGGATTCAAACCCTGATCTTTGCGATCGCCCAACTGGTCCAATGTAGCTTTATTAACATTAGTGAACTCAAGCAATATAATACAGTCTAATCTCCACTACCTGCTACTACTCTACAATGCCCACTTGTTTTGCCTCAAAATGACTTTCCAGTCGCGTAAAAACAAACGGTAAAGGAACTATGCACCCAATGTACTTTACTATCTTTGTTTTGTTTAAATTTTATTTATTTTTAGTATTCCGGGGCTGTTTTGCTTAAAAAAAAAAACGAACTTCACATCCCTTTTCCCAAATTGGTGCCATTTTCAACCCCTACTTCTCCATACAGGTACCCATCTTTCTTCACTGGCCACTTACTTCTGTCTCCAAGGTGGCCGTTTTTGAACAGTTTCGACTTTGAATAAAATAGCAATTTGTCGTCTTTGTCGATCTTGCGGAATGATATTGTTACCACTGTTACAAAGATTTTACCTGGCTATAGTCAGTATAGTCCTCTCTGCTTCGATTGTTGAACTCCATTTTTAACTGACCGCGCTCCTCCTTATGCGAGTGGGTCGTTGATGCATCTAGTATCGATTCCTGTAACGAATAACCGTTACGTCTTGTGCCAGGCAGGCCATTCACCATTTACACATCGACATAATGCACCGTGTTTACCCTTCCAAAATTTTGTATAACCATTGTCTTGGATTTCTCTTGGGACGACCGTAATACCCAGGAGAAATTGGAAACAATAGCTATGCAAAATTGTGGGGGTTAAACAAGGTGCATTATGGTCTACGTGAAAATAGTGAAAAATCTTACTTACACCTCATTATAACTAAGCCCGTCACATGACGTCATGGATACTGTTAATAAATTTCGGTCTCTTTGTCTCCAGCAGATTTGGACAACTCAGTTGTCGTAAAGCTTCTCAAAGCTGAATACAAAAGGCGCTCTCAGTTAAGACCACTTCTTTGGGAAAGCACCATCGAGTTACCCTTGGAAGACGTTTACACGAGACTTAAAATCGTTTCAAGGCGAAAAGCAGACTTCCGGGTGGATGATGACGAGGTGAATGTGTTCGACATCTTCACAGCTCTTGACAAAGGTGAGGATTTTATGACACTAGTCGAGGGAAGTCCAGGAATCGGTAAAACTACGTTTTGCCTTAAACTTGCTTATGACTGGGCATGTGGAAAAATCCCAGCGGAGTGTTCTTTTCCTAAATTTGAGCTCGTGTTACTTTTGAAATGTCGAGATATACATGAAGGTATAATGGAAACAATCAGTGAACAACTGTTGCCAGAAGATATCGAGGAGAAGACCAAAGAGAGGCTATTTTGCTTTATCAAGGACATTCATAACCAGGAGAAAACTTTAATCATTTTGGACGGTCTGGATGAAGTTCCCCAAGAATCCGAACATTATGTACATAAACTGCTTCAAAGAAGAATTTTGTCATTTTGTTATGTATTGGCTACATCTCGACAAGAAAGGGGAATTGATGTACGGAAAAAGTTCCGCTTCGGCATCCTTTTGGAGATTAGCGGTTTCACAGAAAGTGATGCTTTTGAGTACATCAGAAAACATTTTAGAAACGTTGGTCCGTTGCATTCACTAAAGGGAGAAAGTCTCATTAAGGAAATCAACGAAAATACTTTGTTACATGGTTTGCTAGACAATCCGCTTAATTTACTTCTTCTTTGTGTTATTTATGAGGACTATGAGGGAAGTTTGCCATCTTCCCGTACTGAGCTTTACCAAGTTATTGTACTGTGCCTTTTGAGAAGATATTGTGCTAAACGCGATCTAGAGGCCCCTAAAGACAGTAGCGGCTTAGAGAAGCAATTTAAAGAGAGCCTTCTTACACTGGGAGAGCTAGCTTGGATATGCTTGCTAAGTGATCGTTATTGTTTCCGTGAAGATGAATTAGCGGAACTTGAAAAAAGGTACAATGGATTGGTAGCTCGTGAGCTAGGCCTTCTTTACAAGGAAGAACGTCTAAAGAGGTTAGAGCCTCAAAATGAGTACTGCTTTCTCCATAAAACGTTCCAAGAGTACGTGGCTGCCGCGTATATTGCAGAGAAGTTAGTAAATCAACAGTTTAATGTATTTGAGCACATATGCTTTGATGACTTTGTAACGAAATATCCAGAAGTGTTTATTTTTGTTTCTGGCATGTTGGGACAAAAAGCAACCGTGTTATTCACTCAGATTGGGGAAAAGTTGAAGGAGAAGGGAGACTGGGACTGGAACAAGCATTGCCGTGAGGAGGCAGCTACTTTCTTTACTCAAAGCCTTAGCGAAAGTGGACATGCTGAACAAATGGCAGCTTCTGTTTGTGACATTATACCTTTTCCAAGGAAAATACTTGTTAACGACGATCGTAGTATTCATAATGAATGGTTTCCTTGTGTTTTAAATGCTTGCAGAATGTTTTCAAACTTACAGACACCTGTTGAACTTTATGCTGATTGTTTTATGGAGTACTCTGAGGATCTGGCAATAAAGTACATAGAATCCTGCTCGCAGCTGACAACCGTTTGTCTTGTTATTGGATCGCTCACCTCTTCGTATGTAGGTCGTCTTTGCAAATGTTTTGCTGCAAGTGCGAGTTTATCAGAATTTACTCTTAAGCTGAAATATGGCACCAATTATGACCTTCTTGTTCAAATTGGCCGTGTTTTAGCCTTATGTCCAAACCTGACAAAGGTAACGTTTTCATTTTTTGGATCTGTGTATAGCGAGGATTTTTTCCACGCACTTGAAACTGGGGTAGCACCGTTGACGTCTGTTGTTTTCGAGCTTTATGGCTCGATGAGTTAC